CGGAAGAGAAGGAAAGGCGCAAGGGAAGAGAAAGCGAAGAGCGAGGGCGAGGAGGTTTTACATTTCAGTGAGTGTGGGTTATATAAAAACAAAGCTGCTCGTCCAGTTTTAAAGACGGAAACGGTTTTGCTTCCTCTTTCACTTCATTTAGTGACAGCAATGAAAGCTTTGCAGGCCGTTTGCTAACCAGGCGGTTGGGTCTGTGCAGAGCCTCTGTGCTGAGCACCGGTTTTATCCCATTAAAACAACCTGCTACCCTTGCCCTGCACAAAGCTGGCTCTGTCTAGGACTGTCCGATCCAGCATCCAGAGGCACTTGGCTCCCCCTTTTCCGATGGGGAAGCAGGGAACAGGCAATGGGAAGGCACCTGTCTGCCCTGCAGCAAGATAGGAGGGATGTAGCAGCAGAACATATCAGCTTTCAAAAACAGAGAGAGAGGAAGAGCAAAGAACAGAGGAGGTAAGAAACTACCTCGTGGCAACTTGAGGAGCTGCAAGGGAGGGAGTGAGGGGCACCCAGCACCCCCCTCTGACGCATCTCCCAGCCTCCCAAAACGAGCACAACTCCTTGTGCTGGGAACCCCCGGGAACGGGCAGCGACGCGAGGCGGCCACGGGCAAGAGCAACGAGGACAAATACCCATTCCCCGGCTAAAAGCGCTGCTCATCCAACGCCCTTTCCAATGGTTTGTCTTCGAGCACTGCAGGGGCTCCCGAGCGCGCCCCGCTCTTCAGCGAGGCCATTTCCAGGTGTCAGTCTCGCACTCCTAGCGCGACTCTGCTATGACATTGATTCCCGCAGCAGACCCTGGCCCTCGCTGGCTCTGCGGGCGGCGCAGCCAGAGTTCCCCTCCAGCACCGCTCCGCGTCCTGCCCACCCGCCGGGCTGCAAAAGCGTCGGCTCTCTTCAGGGCCGGCACCCGATGCACTGGGCATCCCAACACCGCCAGCAAACAGAGACAAGGTCCGCGCTCAGCCTGCAAGGGAAGCGTTAGTTTTGCCTGGGTCAGATCTCCAAGAAGACATCGCCTCCCCAGAGCCGATATCCTTACCAAGCACTGCAGAAATCCAGCTGAGAGATCCCACCTGCGGAGCCGCTGCTCCCAAGGGAAGCTGTCCCGGCCACGGCCACGCTCGGGGCCCGGCCTTCGGCGCAGACGGAGCCGCGTCCAACGCGCCCCAGAGCGCGGGGCGACGCGGGGAAGGTCTGCGACTTCCTCTTAGCTCCTCCTGGGGATTTCTCTCACAGGCTCGAATGCGTCTGAGTTTCCAGCCACAGCCCCTTCCCTTACACTGCATTTCAGGTCCTGTGATAACCATGTTCCGTGGCCGAATTCCCTCTTTAATTACAACCGCCACTACAATGATGCATTGAAGCTCCAAAACCCCCAGAAAACAGGGACTTCACAGCTTAAACAAGCACTTCTCCTTTGAAATTAAGGGACTTTCTTGTCCCATATGCAGCATCAATAGCACACATTCAGATCTCAACATTCCTTTCACGTTCCCAGTAACAGTTTAATGGCAATAAGGCCATAAAGGAGCAGCAGTGCAGAGGCTGGAGCAGCAGAGAGAAAAGGGTGTCAGGGACCCTCAGGACTGGGTTAGCCCAGAGATGAGAAACCTACAATATTCAATAGTAAAATCCTTTTACAAGGCCACTGGATGACCTGAGCACTAGTATCCACCTAAATCTCACGGCAGCTGAGCTGGCTTCATTACCAAAATTCACCCACACTTGGTTGAGAGACTATGGAGTCGGCGAGGTCCACAACTTGGACATGCTGAAACAGGCAGTAACTGATCTGAACGCTGCCTCCTGCTTGCACAGCCTTAGCACGATGTTCGTTGGGCCCATTTCCCGCACGATCGCCCTGACAAAATGGGAAGAGGCAGCACGGGGAGCCCACGGCCAGGGTTTGGGTGCTACCATCAGCATGAGACTTCTTTGCTCAGAGCCCTTCTCCCTGCATCCACATCTGCGCTCGCGAGCATCTCCTTGCCCAAATCACCAGTGCTCTGGAGACGCGGCGCACAGGGCAGTTCTCCTTGCCGAGATGCCCTGTCTCTGCCAGCTGGTTAAAAAGGGAAGGTTTGGCAGCAGCCTGTTCCACGGAGGGGACAGATGCTCATGCAACTCCCGCTCCTGCCCGCCACAGGAGGAGACACTTGGGAAAGTGAGTTACAGACCCACAGAAGGGTTGAGGTTGGAAGGGACCTCTAGAGATCGTTCAGTCCAGCCCCCTGCTCCAGCAGGGACACTCAGAGCACAGGGAGGCATCCAGGGGGGTTTCTGCAAACTGGCTGCAGGTACCTCCTAAACGAGGCACCGCGCGAGAACCCCGTTTCCCTGTTCCACACTGAAGTCCCAACATCTACCCGCTCCTGCCATGCTGTGGCAGTGCCAGCCACGCTCCAGCGACACAGGGCACTCCTGGCAGATCACTGTCAAAGAGAAAAGCAATTATTCTGCACCCAGGCCGAGCAGCTCAAAGGGAGGCAGCTGAATAGCCTCCTGCTGCATGACCGCGGGCTCCCCATCAAGTCTGAAAAGCTGCCGACTTCAACAAGCTGCTAGAACAAAAGAGAACAACAGAAACGCTTAAGCTTTCCCAAGAAACAACACGAACCATATCCCTCGCTCAGGCCAGTTCTTATTTTCAAGGGAAAACACCAGAGAAAGACTGGCAAAGGTCTAAGCAATTGAAATGGATTTTAAAATGCAGAAATGCCTTGAGGACCCTTACCATGAAGCTGTCACTCACAAGCAAGTGCCGTGTCCAAGCAAGTTCTTCTGGAATGAACAATTCCACAATTTCATTTTGCAACCAAGAACTGGACAGGCTAAAAAAATAGCAGTAACAACTTTCCGGTAAGTGTTTTTTGAGCCATGCAACAGGAGACAGCTAAGCTCTAGAGCACATATTGCTAGGAATGCGGGCTTAAGTTCAGATATGAGACTTTGCCCCAAGCAGATAAGTTGTGAACAGCTTCTACCTGTGTCTCTGCTGCCAGGATGGGATCCTCCAAGAGGGGTGGAGCTCCCGGCAGTTAAACAACAAACTGCCGCTGCAAAAAACACCAAAAATGGCTTCTTGCTAAATCTCATTAGTGGTGCCCAACATTTGGCTTGTATTTGCTATCAAAACAGCCCCATCAAGCTCATTCCTAGCCAACTTCCTTCCCAAGGTAAATCTCACCGTTGCCACCACCCTTTCCAAGAAGCTGGGCCAATCCTTCCTAGTGCAACCAAATCTGCACCTTTAAAGGACAGAATGCAACTTTTTATTATTTTTATTCCACAGGAAAGCAAATACTGGCAAAAGCAAACTGCTGTCATGCGTGTCCAGCACAGCTGACCTTCATGGGGTTTGCAGAGCATGAGATCAGCTGTATCAAACATGTTGAGCAAACACTCCACCTAAAGATAAGAGATACAATCCACAAGGGAAGGAGCATTGCTTGAGCCAGCTGGATGGATTTTAGCCTCATTGGAGGCTATAAGGAATGAGGTGCCTACGAATAAAGATAAAAAGGAAGCCTCTTATGCCAGTAACTTAATATGTGCTGAAACAGAACATACAGACACGTAACTCCTCTCCAGAGACATGCCCTGAGCAGGATTCCTACTGTTAGCAAGAAAGCTGTGAGATGCCCTGAAATGAGAGACAGCAGCACAGTTGAAACAAAAAGCAACAAAGTCTTTGCCCCTGGTCGGAACAGGAACCGTCTGTTTCGTTTTGTTTTTGCTCCGTCCCATTAAGGTTGTTGCCTCCCTCAGGAAAGGCAAGGTGCCCCTTCCAGCACGCAGCACACACATCATCCGCTCTGCAGAAAGACACCGCAGAACGAACCCCACGCGAAGCTATCGGCTAATTCCCAGGATTTGACCGCACGTCCCAGGGAAGCGCAACTCCCCCGGGAAGGGGAAGGTGCTCCCCTAGCTCCAAAGCAAACCCAAGAGCAGATATAGAGGCTCCTTGCCAAAGACATTGATTAAAGGAAGACTGAGCATAAATACAACAAGCAGAGCTGCCTTTTACGGCGCTGCATTGGAAATAACTCACAAGCAAGTTCATCAGGGAATCCTGAAGGTCCCTAAACCTCCCTGTGTGTCACATCTCTCACGGCAGCAACAGGACTGACCAAACCAGAGATAAAACGAAACATAAGAGAAACCGATTCAGGTAAGAGATGGGGAAGAGGGATGATGTGGCTTCATAAAGGACTCCAGTAACTTATTTTTTAAGTTGAAAGGACTTCCCTTGCACTGGCATGGACTGAGAAGAGGCTCATCTCAGAAGGAATTCAGCCACCAAATGCTTTTGGGTTTCATGTGGAACACGCACTCCCGGCGCGCGGAGCTCATTTACCCACACGGGCAAATGATCCGCACCTCCTCGGAAGCAACCTCCGCCGGGAGCATTTCCCTTCCCAGAGGCCCCAAGGTCACCAAAATTCATCAGCACTGATGAGAAGTGCCCCTTTTTCTGGAGAGTGACTTGGCTCTGCACCTTGCAGTGCCAGACCACGTTGCATTCGCAGTTTAGCAGCAGCGCAGGGAGCGAGACCAAAGCCGAGCACCATGCGCCCGAGATGAGGCCGGAGCGGGCAGGCACTATTTATAAGCCCATCACCTGATCCCTCCCAAGGGAAATCCCATCCCTTGGCCTGCCCAGGGAGCGCGCTCCTGCACGCTCGCCGCGGGATCACCAGGAAGGAACAGAAGGGAATCAATTATCCCGGAGCCGGGCACATTCCAAGAGCACGGTTAGAGTTCCTGCAGCCCTCGTAGCAGCCCGGGCATCTTCCTGAAGAAGGAGACAGGGATTACGAGCAGGGATTAATTTGTTAGGCTAATTTACTAAAAGCAAAGTAATGTTTTTAATAGCTCTCTTCTCCACCCATCATCATCTAGGAAGGGCTCCAACCTGGTTCTACAAACATGATGTTTTCCTGCAAACAGAGAGAAACAGAAGCCTTGCAAGAGATGGCATCAAAAGCCAGAGAAAACAGTTGGTGAACGAACGTGCGTTGGATGGTGGGCAAGCAAGGATGGAGGAGACAGGTATGAAATTTCATAAATATTTCACAGTTATTAATTGCCTGGGGCACATTCACACCCTGGAAAACCGAGCACGATCTGGAAGTACACAACAGTAGTCATCTTCTCCTATGCAGCCTCCCCCCAGGTCAAAATAATTCCAGGTTAGCTTCTGCTTCCTTATTTTCTTGCTGGAGAGCACTCAAGTCATTCTCAGTGCAACCAGATACGCTTTCCCAATACAGCTACACACATTTGGGAAAGATCTCCTTTATATCAAGGCTTGGCTCTTCACCTCCCAGGCTGTTACGGAGAACATCGCTCTCCCTGCAGTGCCAGCGGCAGCTGAAGAGGGGCTGTGGATACAGCCGAGCAGGGCAAAGAGCTCCCTCTTAAAACGTAGCAAGAAGCAAACTGGGAATCCTCACGTGCAACAAGGACAAGCACCATCCAGGCCTGGTAGCTGCCTTGGCACAAGGAAAGCTCAGCAGGAGGCAGCCGCCAGGAGGGGAAATCACCCCCACCACCATCCTCTTCCTCCTCCTACCAGAGCTGGGCAAGGGCTGCTTCAAAAAGCCCCACGGGCACAAGGAACAGGAGCAAGGTAGTGAGTATCCCGGCAGAGGGGGACAGCGGGAAGAGCCGGCACTGCATCCTCCTCTGCCAAAGCCTCCGTATTGGAGCAAGGGCTGGCCCCAGCGTTTCCCTGGAACTCAGGAGCCTCCTTTTTTTCCCCCTCTCCCCCTGTGATTGCTGAGGACAAGTTGCACAGTTAACTGGGCAAGCCCCAGCGGCACGGAAGGATCGGAAGGACGTCGTCACATAACAACAACGGCAAAACTGAGGATGCTCCCTTGTCCAGGCTCTTGGAAAAAACTTTTACTGCCAGTGCAGTCACATTGCTGTGTTCTTGCAGCAAAGCAGAGGGGAAACACAGATGTTCTTAGAGACTAATAACTATAAGAAGGCATTTTAAATTTATAGTATTTTTCCCCAGTCTTCACCTTATCTGGTTTTGTTGGATGGTCTTTGTCCAATTAACACTCTGAAGATATTTGTCCATGGCATCCCTGGCTCCCAACCTGGGCACAATGCTTGGCATTTCTGCGTGCATAAATATATATATACACACACACACACGTACGTATGCACAGTGTGTGCACACATACACACAGAGCATATATACTTTTCCCTGAATAGTCTGTGCTCTGCATTACTACACTTAAGGCCTTATGTCAACCACAGCAAAAATACAGATTGTCTGAGCTAAAACTAACCAAATTCTCCAAGACGCTGCAATGAACAGTCCCCATCGCTCAGCTTCCACTCCTCCAACCTCTGTGTTGGGATATAAAGGTGACAACTTTTTCTCAGCTTTAAGCAAATCAACCCAAGCCTCATGGGTCGTCTGTGGGCATCCATTGGCTTTCCCAAAACGGACACGCACTTGCAGACCTGGGATAGCAGCACAGGAACATGTGCACCAGCACGTGGGCAGAGGAAAACCACCCCTCCTGCCTCTCCCCAGCTGCAGGTGGGTATCTGAAGATCATGCCGTGCTGCCCACCTGCAGCCCTGCTGGAAGCATCCCCAGGCCCCGCACGAGCCACTGCTCCCCAGCGCGGCCCTCACTCCCCCCTCACACCTCTGCGCCCGGGACTGTGTTTCCCTGAAGACTCCGTGTTCTCCAGGACGAGACACGGGACCTCACATCAGCCACACCAAGAACACATGGAGCCAAACCGCTGTGCCCTGTCCCCATCCCATCTTTTCCGCCCTACTCCACGTGGCTTGCGCGCTTTGGTGATTTGAGCCATACACGTTGCCAAACACAGCGCAATGGTATCGAAACACCACCCGTAACAGCGCACTGACATAATCACCCCAATAAGGCTCCTCTAGTTCTAGGGCTACTTGAGGGGGGGCTGCTTTGAGTTCGAACCTTTTCAGTATGCCCAGAATGTAAACACAAAGAGCCCATGCCAAGAACCTGAATAAAATACACATTTATACATATACACATATGAAAATATAAGAGTGACAACCTGCGACAGCGCTGCCTCCCAAGCAGATCACCGGCAGTTTCAACAGCTTTGGAGAACTCGGAGGAACCCTCTGCTGCACGCAGAGGCTCCCGAGCAGCCGGGCAGGGAGGCGCTTCCCTGGACAAGGGCGGCTCAGGCGGGAGCGCAGCGCGACCGCCCCCGGGGCGGGGGGACACGGCAGGGCAGGGACGCGCGCCCTCCGCCGCCCCGCGGGCGCTGCTGGCGGCCTCCCGGCTCCAGCACCGGGAGGACGAATCTGTGCAGCCGGCGGCTCCCGCGACACCCCGCCAGGGCCCCGAGCCGCCGGGGGGGGGGGAGATGCACCGA